TTTTACTATGGGTATGTCATGAAACCCAAGACACTCGTGGAAAAATAAGTGGATGAAGTTTGGTAGGGCTTGTAGCCAGTGGCAACCCAAAAGCTGATAGAAAAGGTGGTTCTTAGGCATCTTTTGGCTTCAAATGTGTGAGGATCCTTCTTCATAAAGAGCTGAAATAATGTCCATAAAAGGCTGCAAGTCCAGAAAGTCCCAACCCAACTGCTCTTCGCTTAGTACCTACCACCCCCCTCCCTCCACACACACACACCTAAATTGAAACAGCCCAGAGAAGATTAAACCCGAGAATGTGGCCCAGTCTTTTCTCTCCTGTCAACACAGCTAAGCTGAGGGCTCACAGCAAGCGTGAGATCTGGCTTCTCCCTTTCACATGTCTCCAAACCACTTGAGATTAGAACGCCAGGGTGTGCAGGGCAGAGAAGGGAGACAGAAAGGGTTTCAGCCCAGCTATACAATGACCCCTGTTTGACCTTGGCTAAGTAAACCAAGGTGTACTTCAATCCACATTGTGTCCTTCGTAACAAAGCAGGGATGCCAACACACACATCCAAGCAAGAGAAAAGGTTGTTTCTGTTTTTTGTTTGGTTGGTTTGTGTTTATATGGGGGGAGGGTTCTTTTGTTGCTGTTGAGGGTTTGTTATTGTTGTTTGTTGTTGTTGTTTGGTAATAGAGGAGTTTGAACTCCAGCCTAGGCCTAGACTAGGCAGGTGAACTATTACTTGAGCCACACATTCAGTGCTCAAAAGTGAGACAATTATGCATATGTGTGTTCATCATTATGAGCATCACCCAATAGTTGGCTTCGTTTCATTTTTTTATAAATAATTAACTTGAGGTAAAGCTCTCTAGGTTTACATGGAATTAGTCAAAAATAATAAGTTACGTTTTTAATACGCAGATTGTTATAATACTAGATACATATGTGCATAATCAAGTCTGGCAGAAGGTGGCAGACATTCCCTGTTAAGTACATACAAGCCAGAGTTTAGATAATTTGCAGAAAGAGTAAGTTGTTGAAGAGTAAGATGTTAGTAGACTTGGAGGAAGGTGGTTTAGGTGATTTACTAAAGTAGATCAAGATTAGAATTTATATTAAAAGCATTGCTTCCTGGGTATACAGAAATGAACCATTATACAAAATGTCAGGTGACTTACACACAGACCTTTACCAAATCCATACTTCAAGTTACATATGGGTGTTCATTTTGCTATCTGGCTCTCATTTGCTTGTGTTAAAAGAAAAAAAATGGAGATGACTCACACATCTCTGCTGAGACAATATAGTTGCTAAATTAAATGATGGGTCGTGCACATTTACACATCAGACATGTCCCTTGGTGCTTTTAAATTCTATTTGTCCAGATGTGACTGCCTGGTTTGTGGGGCCACCTGCTGTGTCCCCTTTGTGATCCGATCAGTCCGGCAGCTCCTGTTTCTGCCTCTAACACCCTGTTGGGCAGTAATAAGATGTTAAAGACGACAACAGAGAGCCAAGCCAGGCTGCCAGCTTCAGAGAGGAAGGGGGTGAAGGGTACAACAAGGAAGAAAAAGACAGGGAGTTGTGGAGAGATCAAAGACAGCCAAGAAGAAAGCCAAACTGCTAAGAAAGAGTAACATGGCTTCAGGAGCTCAGAGCCTTTAAAAAAGATCCTCCCCCCGCCCCCCCCCAAAGCAAAGAGATTCCAATTGTACCATCCAGTTTCCCCCTACTGGGCTAAATGAATTATGGGATGTCCCAGATGGAATAAACTAGCATCATGAAAAATAGTCCATCTACTTGGGTGTTGTAGGAAACCTGATCTGGTTTTATACAACCTCTACTTCATCCCCAGACCCAGTGGAAATCTTTGTGTGACCAGTTTCTGTAGGGGGCGTTCTTGATGTTGGCTTTTTTTTTTTTTTTTTTTTAGGAAGGGGGGGTGGAGAGACTCAGAAACCACACAGAGAAAATGCTAATGTCGCAGCGCTCATAAGCATAAAAACATAGCTCTCCAAACCCCTCGCTCGCTCCCCCTCCTCCCCTCCCCGCTAGCCAGCCCAGCCCGGCCGCTCGCCGAGCCACTGCCGCTTTGTTCTAATTTATCCCATGCATAATTTATTCACGTGTGTTTTGTTTCCTGATCAGCAACTTCTAAACACAAATGAAATAGGAAAGGTGTTTTACTAAACACGTTTTCTTTAAATAAAAAAATAAGGCAGAGGTGTCCACCAATCGCAACGTGTGTGCTCCTTCCTACAGAGCTTAATAGTAATAATAATAATAATATAATAAATTAAAAGAAATGCCTCATGCAAAAAAAAAAAAAAAGCCTGGCGGAAGGGGGTATTGTTTACGACCCCCCGGCCCCTAGGGAAAGAGGCTGCGGTGGCAAACAGGATGGCTAATTATAAATGACCACCCAACTCCCCGCCCCCCAGGGAAGCGCGCGCACTCGGCTGGCTGGCGGGGCTGCGGGGCGTGCTGGAGGAGGAGGGAGTGTGCGGGGTGTGTGCGCCACGAGAGAATTACGCACGCATCCCCGTTACAAATGTTTCTAATGACACCCAGTGCGAATGTAATTCACAACTAATTCCAGTAACCAGTCTGGATTTGGTCACCTTCTTCCCGCCTCTCGCTCCCCCCCCCCCCGCCCACACACGCACCCACGGTGTGTGTGCGTGGGGGTGTGGGATGGGGTGGAGCGAGCCGGGGGAACCCCGGAGCGCCAGATGCTGCGTAAGCCGGTTGTGGATGGGGGGGGGGGGGGGGGAAGGCCGGTGCCGGCGGGGAGGGAGGCGGGCAGCCTGCGCGTGGCAACCCCGCACACACGTGAACTAGATCCCCGGAACTTTCCGTTTGCCAGGGTGGCCTCCGCACACATCAGCTCGGCGGGGTGATTCCGGCTGGGAAATGGGGAGGGGAGGAAGGGAGAGTGGCAGGGGATGGGGGGAGGAAGCGGAGAGGGAACGTCGCACCTCAGCGGTGGGTTGGGTAGAAAAACTCGCCGCCTCGGCGGTGTGGCGGGCGCGAGCGACCCCAGAGCGAAGAGCAAGGCGAAGTTACGCCCATTTATTTCTGCCAGAAAACATTAGCTTCCTCGGGTTTGAAATGCAGGAGTATCTGAGCTTCCGAGCGAGCACGGAAGCCCCAGGACTCCTCTCCGACCACCCACCCACCATCCATCCATCCATCCATCCATCCATCCATCCATCCATCCGTCCATCCATCCGTGGCTTCCAGCGTCCTCTGGATGGCGACGTCCGTCATGAACTCCGCGACCTGGGACATGGCTCCCCGGTGTCTGGCTGCTGGCAGAGGCGCCGGTGCGAACTCGCCGCCGGGTTCTCTCTCCCCCGAGCGCGCGCGATCCTCTCTGCCTTGGGGATCCCCGCGTCACCCACCCCACCCCACCCCCGCCGCTCCCCACTGGGACCCCGGATCCTGGGTGCACAGCCGCCCACCCAGCGGCCGGCGAGGAATTCGGGAGGAAGCCCTCGGTCCGCACCTCCCCCCTCCCCGCCGTGGGAGTCCTGGGTCCAAGGGGCGCTGACCCCGACCCACGCTGCCCCGCGGTCCGCGGGGAGCCACCCTCGGCCAACGTCCCTGCCAGCAGCACCCCTCTTCTTTTTCTTCTTTTTTAAAACAGCAACACTAGTTTTCCAAGGCCAACACTACCACCACTACCCGCCCCCCAGCTCCACGATCACAAGCGGACTTGGCTGCTTAACAGTTCCACTGACAGGAAGGAAGGAAGGAAGGAAGGAAGGAAGGAAGGAAGGAAGGAAGGAAGGAAGGAAGGAAGGAAGGAAGGAAGGAAGCAGGCAGGCAGGCAGGCAGCAGAAATTGGCTGTGCGACCCAGGGTCTGGCCCCCGCGAGTCCTCCCCTAGCCCGCCCCCCTCCCCGCCTCCGACCGGGGATCCGGGCGTCCGCTCCAAGCCTCCCCGAGGCGGCCACTGGCACCTGCCTCTCTGGCTGAAGCCGGGAGCAGACGCTGCCCGCCCCACTGGGAGCCCCCAAATCGCCTCTGCGCCCGCCTCGGCTTTGCACCTAGAGGCGGCGAGAGCACCAATTCCTAAGACCTGCCTGCCTTCAAATCCACCTCAAGTTAACCCGAGTCGTTCATTTACTACAGCCTGTTTGCCCACAAAAAAAAGAAGAAGAAGAAAAAGAAAGAAAAGAAAGAACAACGCCGACACACCGGCGACCGCCCGGAGCGCTTTCACCGTCCGAGCCGCCGGAGCAGAAAAGCCCGGGGCAACCACCTGGGCCCCAGGGCTCCGGGGACCCGCTGCACCCCCACCTCCCCACACCCCCCTGTCGTCCTCCCAACTCCGGAAGGTTTGGCACAAACTCCCGGAGAGAGATCGGAAAGCGGAGAGAGCGCCCCGCAAACTCCGGAGCTGCAGCGGGCAGTGCGCTCTCCGCTCGCCCCCGGCGGACGTGGAGCCGGGCGGGCGGGCGGGGTGGGGGGGGCCTGGGGCTCCCGGGGCTGGATGGGGGGAAGGCGGGGGCAGGCTCTCCGCCAAGCGCACCCGAGCGGCCCCTGCCCCGCGCTCCGTCCCGACTCCGTCGCCCCCCACACCCCCCCACCCCCGTCCCCATCCCAGTCCCCGGTGCGGCACTCGTCTCCCGGGCAGGCAGGGGACTCGGGGGACCGTGCCGTCCCCGAGCTACCCACAGACCCTGCGAGCCCGGGAGCGCAGGAGCGCCCGGCTCACCACCCACCGGTGCCCCCTCCACACACACACACACACCCCTGCGCGGTCCTCCAATTAAACCCAACACAAATGTAACAATCTTCTTTTTGTTAATTGCATCTCCTGACATTTCTGCGCGCTGGGAGGAAAATAAAGCAGATGAAGAAGTAAGAGCAGAAAGAAAAGAGAGGAGCCCCGCCGCAGCTGCGGGCGCCGGCCAGCGCCGAGCACCGGCGGCGCTCCGCACGCAGAAGGCGCCTTTTTTTTCATATTGAAACCACGCGGAATATGTACATTTTTTAGTCTTACTTACGCTTTCAGGGGGTTGTGAATGACAGTCGCCATTTTGCTACAATGTAACAGAATATTGTCTGTCTCAGAGTTCTAAAGGTTCGCTCAGGGGAAGCGGCGGGCCAATCAAAGCACGGGATACCGGCCCGCCGACCAATCGGCGCGGCTGGTCGCCAGGTGGGCGGGGCCTGCGCGGTGGTAGTTATTAGGGGAGCTGTCAAAGCCCAGAGGTCACTCCCTTTTGTAGAGGCCGTGAGCGAGCAGGTCTTAAAGGGGCAGTGCCTCGCTAGCAGTTGATTCTCCGATTGAAGACCCACGGGAGAGTACTCTAGCTTGGTTTGAGTCCCTACTTTTTTAAATAACTGGAGTGTTTGCGCTCTTGGATAGAAATATTAACATAATGCCCACGAATCATTGAACTCTGTTCATTAGCTTTAGACTTTGCATATCACCGGGTTTTTATTTTTTGTTTCTTAACTTCCACCCCCCTCCCCCCTGCCGGTAAATCCTTGGGTCCCAGTGCAAAAGTTGGAAGGCTGCCGTTTTCTCCCAGAAATTACTATACGTGCCCAGCTGTTTACTAATGCTCTGGGTCCTTTAGCTGTTTAGCATTCTTGTCCCCCCCCCCCCCAAGTGTTTTATCTCCGGCCACCTTTCTCTCTGGGTTTCTTGGAACTGCCACCCTGTTCCTGGAGACTGCAGGACAGCAACTCCCCTCCCCCTGGAATGTCTCAATGTCAGGCTCCGCTCCCGCCCGCAGCCAAGGCTTTCGTTATGTAATTCACGGGGGCCACTCTGCACGATCCCCCTCGCCCCGGTGCGTTATCCCTCACCGGAAACTTCCGAAGTGATCAGACTCCAGCCAGCTAGAGAGCTGGGTGGTACCTGGCGCGCTGAAGGGTGGGAAGATTTAAGGCAACTTTTGGAAAGGCTCTGCAAGTCACTGGGCAGAAGTTGTAGAGCCCCCGACTGGAGGTTGCCAGAGTTTCTTCGGGGAGTGGCAGGAGGTATTCGGGCGCCACCTTTCAGTATTTAGATAGAAGGTGAAAAGAATTTGGTATAGTGATGTGACCTGAGCCATCCAGAGAGCCCCACGTCTGCCTGGAGAGAATGTGAATATCTAAATAACAAGTCCTTGACACAACTGGAAGGCTACTGCGAAGTCAGGCAACCTCCCGGCACAGAGAGGATCCTCATGGATGAAATCGCACTAAATCCCATAAAAGAGCAGGTTCTTCATTAGCGGGCAGGAGTCTGGCTATTATCCCAAAGCTGCTTAATCAGGTCAAATAGTTAAGATTGTGGGGAAAGGGCAGAGCGTAGGAACTGGAGGGTAACCAGAGGGTAAATAGCTCTTTGTCATATCTCTTGCTCCTCTCAAGGCAATGAATAGAATAAAATAACTTTTTTTTAAGTATCCTGGATCCTTCAACTTCATGCAGGAGTCAAGTTATGAACAGGCAGAACAAGACTATGTTTGTAACCCACTTGAAGTGTGTGTACACTGTGCTAAGGCTTGAACTCATGCTGTCACATAGCTGCTCACAGCTGGTGCTCTACCACTTGAGCTACACCTCCACTTCCAGCATTTTGATGATTAATTGGCAATAACAGTTTCTTGGACTTGTCCCTGGACAGTGTTTTTTTCCCCCTTTGGGTCAGTCCTGGGGCTTGAACTTAGAGCCTGGGCACTGTCCCTGGGCTCTTTTTGCTCAAGGCTAGCACTCTGACACATTGAGCCACAGCTTCACTTCTGGTTATCTGATGGTTAATTGGAGGTAAGAGTCCCACAGACTTTCCTGTCCAGGCTGGCTTTGAACCATGATCCTTGATCTCAGCCTCCTGAGTTGCTAAGATTACAAGTCTGAGCCACCAGTGTCCTGGCTCACTTGACATTTCTAGCCCTTTTTCTCTGCTTAGTATCAGAGTCAACTTGTATAGATTTCTTTGTAAACTTTCTGTAGCATCTTGGCTGAAATTACAGTCTGAAAAAGCCATTTCCCTTTCTCAAATTAAAGATTGAAGAACTGCTTGCTTACTAATTTATAGAGGGATTGATTAAAAAACAAGTATTTTGCCTTGGATGGACATGATATCACTAAGAAGTAATATCACACACAGGAAGTCTGAATTGGGCCAGGCACTAGTGGCTCACTCCTGTAATCCTAGTTACTCAGGACACTAAGATCTGAGGATGGAGGTTTGAGGCCAGTCCATGCAGATATATCCAATAGGCTCTTCTTTCCAATTAACCACCAAAAAGCAAGAAGGTGGGGTGTGGCTAAAGTAGTAGAGCACCAAAAGTTTAGGGAAAATATGATACACTGAGTTCAAGCTCCAGTTCTCTCTCTCTTTCTCTCTTTCCTTCTCTCTCTCTTTCCTTCTCTCTCTCTTTCTCTCTTTCTCTCTCTCTTTCTCACACACACATACACACACACATGTCTGAGTTGAAAGCATCAGTCAGAACTCTCACCTCAGAGAGAGATTATCATCAAAGGCACAGCAATTCAAACTGGAGGACAACATATTTCAACATATACAGCCTGCAAAGGAAATAGGAAGTTTAAGAGGCTTCCTTGAATGAGGCTTATAAATTTAATGGAGAAGAGAGGAAAAGCAAATTTATACTACATTAAAAATGCATGCTCTACACATTTTATTTATTAGGTTAAGGCCCTGATGTAGAACCTAGCATAATCTCCTGAAAATGGCAGATTGGTGGTAGAGCTTATGCTTGATTGAACTTAGTTCAATTGCCAAAACCAACAATCCATCAACCAACAAATGAAAAGGAAAATGGCACATCACATCTGCCTTCACTTTGAGAAACTTTAATGCAAAACTTAACTAAGAGCTGGGTGTCCGTCTCTCACACCTGTAATCCTAGCTACTCAGGAGGCTGAGATCTGAGGATCCCGGTTCAAAGCCAGCCCAGGCAGGAAAGTCCATGAGACTCTTATCTCCAATGAACCACCAGAAAACCAGAAGTGGTGCTGTGACTCAAGTAGTAGAGCTGCTAGCCTTGAGCTGAAAAGCTCAGGGACAGTGCCCAGGCCCAGAGTTCAAGCCCCACAACCAACAACAACAACAACAACAAAAACTTAACTAAGAAATAAGCCACGGAAAGCCAGGCACCAATGGCTCATACCTGTAATCCCAGCTACATCTAAAGATCCCAGTTTGAAGGAGCCTAGGCAGGAAAGTCCATGAGGATCCCATCTCCAATTAACTAAAAAGAAAAAATTTGGAAGTAGACTGTAGCTCAAATGGTTTAGTGTTAGCCTTGGGCAGAAGAGCTCAGGAATAGCACCCAGGCTCTGAGTTCAAGCTCCAGGACCAACACACACACACAGAAGTAAACTTCTAGGCACCTATAATACTAGCTACTCAAGCGGCATAGGTCTGAGGATTACTGTTCAAAGCCAGCCCAGGCATGAAAATCTGTGAGACTTGTAATGCCAATTAACCACCAAAAAGCCAGAAGTGAAGCTGTGGCTCAAGTGATAGAACACTAACTGAACCAAAAATTTAAAAAAAAAAACTCAGAGATTGCTTCCAGGCCCTGGGTTGAAGCCCCAGAGCTGGCACAATTTAAAAAAAAAAAAAAAAAAAAAGGAAAGGCAGCTCTTCTTAGAAACAGCCTGATTCAGGTAGGAAGAAGTTGTGAGTCTAGAAACCTGTTAGGAAGCTAGCTGCAGTCAGGACTGAGGCCTGGGAGAGAAGGTAAGTTCTAGAACTTATGTGACACACTGGTCCAGTGGCTGTAGGCTTGAAGAACATTACAGGGTTGCAGGTTGATGCTCCTGGGTGTAGGCACTGGCCTGCAACCCTAAAGAAACAGGAAGTCATGGCCAAGGCCAAGGGCTGGGAGGCCAAGGAAACACTGAGACTTCCTGTTGGGGGTAGGAGGGGGGATGGTTGTTTTTCCAGAGGACCATAATGCCCCTCCCCTCCTCCAAGTTGGGTTAAACACTGGTGGCCCCAGCCAGGATTCCCTAGAGCCCTGCCCTACCCAGCTTTCCCCTCTCCATTGACTCCACTTCCCAAATCCCCTCCCCTTAGTCCCTTCCTTTCCCTCTCAACAGACTCTAAAATAGCTAAGGAGTTTCCTCCTGGGGAGTCGGTCAGCCAGTAAGTTGGCATCTTAAGAGCAGATTCTAGGACACCTCATATCTTTTCTAAGAGATCAAGGCTTCATGAGATCCGGCCACTAATGGCTCACATCTGTAATCTTAGCTACTCGGGAGGCTGAGATCTAAAGATTGCAGTTGGAACTCAAGCCAGGCAGGAAGGTCTGTGAAACTTCTATCCCCAGTGAATCACCAGAAGTGGAGATGTGGCTCAAGTGGTAAAACACCAGCCTTGAAGAGGAAAAAACAAACAAACAAAAGCTAAGGAGAAATTGGAGACCCTAAGTTTAAGTCCCAGTACTAGAGAGAGAACCACCCCCTCACTCTCTCTCTCTCTCTCTCTCTCTCTCTCACACACACACACACACACAATGGCTGGACTACAATCTCAGGCACCAGGTAAGACAGTGGATGGAATATTTCTACCTAAGAGCTTTCTCCGTTCAGCACCTGGGGTGATCTTCCTCTGCTCTGAGGACCAGCCCAGCCCTTTTTCCAGCACACAAAGGCCAGCCCCTCCTCAGGGGGCCTCAAATCTCTTCCCAGTACTAGTTACAGAGTGCTTTGTGGTATCTATTTTTTAACTAGCTAAACGCTACTCTCTTTGCCCTCCTCTACCTGCCAAGTCCTCCCTTGGCCCAACCACATGGGCTGCGTGCAGATGAAATCCTGGTGGCACTACATCCCACACTGAAGCGACTGCCAAGCCTCCTGCAGAGAACACTGCAATGGAGTGGAACAAACTGTTCGCCATTCCCACCATGAGTGGACCAAGAACAGAGTTCCCTAAGACTGCACACACGTGGGAAGGACACGTGTGTCCTGAGGGCCCCCCAAAGAGGGCTTTCCTGACAGTGTTGCTTTAAATGTGGGGACACTCCCAGACACCTGTCTCCCTCACTCAGCCCACTGACCTGACCTCGGGCTTGTGCTGTCATTAGGCAGGAATCAGCCAGCCAGCCATGAGCCAAGCACAGCAGGCCCTATGCAGC